ATGTCAAGTCGTCATTTGATAGCAAAGACAAGGAGAAAAGATAACAAAGATGAGTTAGGTTGGATCTGTCAAGGATTGTTTTCAATCCGAATACTTCTTCGATGCGGTTTGTCTCCTCGGAAACCTAAAATGCTACATCTTCTTTAATTTAGCATAAAATCTGTTGCATACTATAAAGTAAATCACGCAAAAGAACCATTATTCTGAATTCTTTTACATGCAAAGAATTTGACGTTTGAAATTTCCATACAATTTAACATGTTAATGCGTGTGTGTCAAGTACCGCTGAAACTTATTTTCATGCTTAGCACTGTTTAATGTGTGTGGAAAAAAAATGTATAACACTGTACTTTATTTCGCTTAATACACAATTTCCATTATGACTATTTTAATGAGTTGTAAAAATAACCAAGAAATCTGTAAGATTTGGTTATTAAATATTAAGGTTTTTGCATACATTTTTTAAAACTTTAAAACGGCATTTAGAAAGCTTTTAAATTATATCTAATTTACATTTTTCTCGAAAAATATACATTTAGATCTATATATATAGAAGATACTTTCTATTTGTTAGATAAAATTCTTTCTTTTGTGATTAGTTTCAGTAGAATGAAGCCACAAAGAAACAAGAAGAAATAATCAGTTAGGTGAGTAGGCGAAGTTGTAATTAGTTACTGGAAATATTGTCTAAAACTCAATTAGTTATCAGATGTGAATGAAATTTATAAGGGAAAAAACATCGCTAACGATGTTTACTCAGCTGTAAGTTATAACAAGAAAGTTTTTATTTAAAAGATATATCTATTATTTACGTTTATGCAAATTACTTGTATTCAATTGTAATTTGATATGTAATGCAAAGAAAAAATTTCTTATAGTAATTTGTAAAACAAAATCATTTAAATTAAAAACATATTCACCTTTCTTACAAATTATAAATTATAAATCAATTATTATATAACTAACAAATTATTTATATATATGTTCATATAAAAAATAAAGAATAAATAAATCAAAATACAACATATATCCATATTGTATACATATTGTAAAACACATTGTATACATATTTTGATCATTTTCAAACCGAAAAAATATGTATATAATAAATGGATATACTGAAAAATATTTATACAATTACACATATATTTATGTAATATACTCTTACACTATATGTATGTTATGTATTGTATGTGTACTATATTTAAGAGGGTGATAGGGGTACTGCTTGCCTTCCGACCTTTTATTACTAACAGAAGTTCATTGCTTTTTTATGTGTTTCTTAACATTATTGGGCTTCAATTTTTAAAAATTGTAGACCTATAAATTCCCACTGGAGTTCGTCTGAATGTCCTTTACGAACGGAATTAGATAGATGACCGGCATGACTTTATTGTTAACAGGAAAAGTACGATTTAAAGGGGCAAGACACTAGTAAAATTGAGAGCATTGTAACGATGTTACAATAAATAATTGCTCGTTATAAGCATCACATTTTAATTATTTCAGTCTATTTCATTACACAAATTTAGCAATCGTTCCTATAAGATTTTCTCTGGATCGTCCCTTAATATATATTTATATATTTCATGTGCTGTATATAGACCTATAAGTGTATAGATTTAACTGTATTTTTGACACGAAGATAAATGATTTTTATTATTATTTTTTTAAAACCTAAATTTAATTTAGCATTATTGCAGTAATTCTACATTATCATCGGTGAGATGACAAAGTGTTTTCAATTCTTACATTTCACAAATATAAAAGTTAATTAGAAAATTCCCAATTTAAATTTTTTCCTTTTTAAAAACGTTACTTTTTTTTATTGTCATTGCTGATAGCAGTAATTAAACTAACAAGACATTATTTTAAATTCGGAAAGATGAATATTTTGTATGTATTTTACCTTATTACTTCGATAATTAAGGCTTTCGAGGATCACTTTTTTTTCGGTCATTTAGATCGATATGTTTTCTTTAATTAGATTTATAAGTGAAAATTATTAAACAAATATTGACATTAATCAGTATATTTAAAGTATTAAACCCAACGAATTTTTTAAAAAAAATTTCTATACAGAATGCAAATATTTACATTTTTCAATAATTCTATTAATTATATATTTAAAATTAATGTTGTTTACTCTATCTTGTTGCGGTGCTACCTTATATTTTTTTTAAGTGTAAAATTTGAAGGGAGTGATATTAATCGTTTCAAATTTTCGTTTTCTCTTAACAGAATAAATAAAAATTCTTATTTTATGTTATGTGATCGTAAAATTGCTTTAGAAAATTCTGAAAATATGACAAGAGACGTGATTAAAACAAAATTAATTACCATAATTGTAATAAGGATCAGACGATACCCTACTTACTTCATTCATCTTCCAATATATTTATTTTATTTTCTGTCATTTAAGAGAAAATATTCAATGTTATTTCATTCTAGAACAATTCATTATGTCAGAATTTTTATATTATAATTATTTAACTTAAGTTAAAATTTTAAAAATGTTTAACAAAATGTCGAGATACTTTAACAAAGATCAAATCTTTGGTTTGACACTTGATAAATCTTAGTGAGTAAAGTATTTATCAAGGAAAAAAAAATGTTTAAAATTGGTAAGTAAGTGGATGAAAGATGTTATAAGTTTATAAATAGTTTTAAAATAGTTTTTTTTTATCACCTTAATAGCGAGGAGTGTTTCGCATCTTAAGAGAGTTACACCAAATGATTCGTAACATTCTTAATTGAGTTGGAATATTTTCATATTTTTTACTTTATTTTCTAGTAGAAAAACTTCAGTACGTTATTTTAAAAGGTTTCTTTAAAAAAAATATATTTTCAATTTTTAACAGGAAGTTTTAAGAATAAAAACTTAAAATAAAAAAAAAAGAGACATTCATTCGAAATAATTTACTTCTAAAAAGTTTTCCAATTAGCATATTTATTAAAGTTTTAATAATAAAACAAACTTTAAATATTAAATTTAAATTACTGGAACTTTATTTTTATAAAATTTAAATACTTAATTTAAAAAAGTCAATAATAAAATATATTTAAATTTATCAACGTATGCCGATTTTAAGTTAATTAGATTTCACGTTTTAAATATTTATTTTGTTGTTCAAATAAGCATAAGTTGAGAACGTTATCTTATTTAATGTTTAAATTACTGCTCCAAGTTTGAAAAAAAAAATTATTTATATGCGATAGATGTGATCGGCATTCACATTTTTCATCAATAACTATAGAATAAATGACTTCCCCCAGGCAGAAAAGTTGTTTGTTTCAAGAGGATACCAATTTTCAGTAAAAGGAATTCTAACTTTTCACTGAGTACATACTTATATCGAGTTCTTTGACTTCATCAGGAGGCATTAAAATAAACAAATTTACTATATTTTACTAAATTAAATAAAAATATCAAGTTTAAAATTCCTACAAATTGGTCAAATCTAGTGATGCTGAGGATCTCCATCCTCCGCATCACCACGTTAAAATTTGAATAAAATATTTTATCATCAAATAATAATTTCTTAATTTTATTAACATATTTAAATAAAGTTTAGCGTAACTACATTAACTGTAAATTCGTGTTATAATTGTTTTTAATATAGTGAGTCTATTAATGTAATGTAATTAGCGGAACTACATCAGCGTTTCCTTTATTTTCGGCTCATTTCCTCTCTGACAGTGAATATAATTAATGCAGTTATATTAAATTTCAATAACTTTGCAGTGATAGGCCTACGTTTCAAAATTAGCACTTCAAACAAATCGAACATTTTGAAAGGACGTTGTGCATTAACTATCAAAATGTATATCTAATCATTGGTAAGCTACCTGAAGCACTTGTTGTTGATTTCCTTTCTTTCCTTGATCGCTCCTCTTTTTTTCCCCTTTGTATTTGTTAGAAAAATGTCTGTTCCAGATGTATTAGTTCTTAACTCGGTTCGTGTCTGATCAAATTACTTTACTTGGCTTCCAATGAAAGATATTAACCAAACTGAATCTATAAGTTACCAGAAGTAGTTACTCACCCTCTTAAAAAAATTAAATGGATTCCTTCTGTTTCATTATTTATACGCCATAATGCATTGATAACTGTATTGTGACAGTATAAATTCTGTTAATAACAACAATACACGATTATCCAATTAAGAAAAATATTTAGTACTTCTGAATCTGGCATGTTGACACTTTGGAATAAAGTAAACTGTAATTAAGTTTAAAAATGTGTTTTATTTTAGTTCGTAGGAAGTAAAAAAAAAGAAGAAAAATGTGTGTCAAGTGTCCCAAAAAGTTTGTCGGTGTGAGGTTTTTTTATCGTTATTTTTTGCTTAATTATTTTAATGTGGCTTTATAATAGAGTAGTGTTTAAATGGCGCCAAGTGCCCATTAGCCATCTGTCTCCGTGATACGGAAGAAAAGAATAGCACGTGGCTATTGTGTAAGGCTGTGGAGTAGAAGACGAGAAAGGCGAAAAATTTATCTTTGACTCAAAAAAAATATTCACAAAAGACACGACAAAGGAGGAACTTAGCCAATCAGTCAAAGACACGTACTGCTCTTCACAGCGATTGTACGGAGGTTTATTTATTTTTTTAAAATAAAATGTAGGTCGTTATCGGCCCGGTCGAGAGTCATTAGTTTAAATTTTATCAATAAACTATTGTCAAGTTGCAGTCAGCGTGTCAAACGGCGTGATCGATACTCGTTCGGATTTGTTTGATGTGTAATGTAGATTAGAGTTTTGCTCTCTGTATAAATTAGATTGGACGTAAAGAAGTAAATTTCCGGTATTGATACTTAAATTCTAAAATAAAACAAATTTTATAAACAAAGATAAACAGGAATACTTTAAACGCGTACTAGAAAGGCATCGTCGGTCGCAATTAAGGAAAGAATGTCAACAACAGATAGTTTCCATCATTTTGACTTACTGTGACGTCACGGAGTTGGGGAAACGAAAGCAAAGTGAAGTCTGTTGGAGCGGCCAGTATGTGGCTGTGAGCGTGCGAGATCAATGATACAGTGGTGTAGTGTGGCCAACAGGCATAGTCATGCCAACATCGCCTCGTGCGGGCAAGCAATGGAACCGTTCCATGTCATTCTCTTCTTTATGGAAGGCGGAGAGGAAGATTCGTCATGCGGCGTACAGGATGATCAGAGGAACGGACGGATTAAGACAGAGCTCCGACACCTGGACTTACACGTCGTGGCTGAAAGTGAACTCATCCCCTTTAGAGGTGCAGCAGTCGTCTCTTCTTTACCGAACTAACTCGACCGTCTCCTTAAACGAAACAGATAACGAAAACCCAGTTAATCTTCGTGAATTATACAGCGTCTTCATTCCCGTAATGTTGACAGGTTGTGTCTTATCTCTTTTAGTTAATCTTGTGATTTTAGTATGCGTCAGATATGTCAGACGTCCTCTAAAACCCACTCTGTGTTTTAGCATCAGTTTATCGATAACTAATGCTTATGCAATGACTGTTTTGGCTATTGGTTTAATAGTTAACAGCTTACTCCCCACCGTCTACGGCTGGAAAATGGAACCGTTTTATAACTGTTATTTTCTGGCTCTGGAGGCGTTTCGAATGGGAGGTTTGATAGCTTCCGTGCTGCATCTGTTAGCATTAGCTGTTAACCACTACATCGGGATACTACGCCCCTTACATTACGCAGCTACGGTTACCAGAGGGGCCGCCAGAATGACTATAATTGCCATTTGGATAATCCCACTGCTCTTCTTTTTCATATACTTCTCGAGTGTACCAGCAGAAGGTTTTCAAGCCCTCAATTGTTTAAAGGTCGATTTCTTATTCGCTAGTACATACCGTCTGACAGTGTCATTGTTATTCTTCATGCCTCTTTTAATGATGACTTTTATGTACATCCATATTTTTTTAGCCTTTCGTAAACAAAAATCCAGTTTTATCAATTATCCCACAGCTACCAAACTACACAAAAACGTTAAGGCGGTCATAACGACCTTGTTCATTCTCGGTACTTACCTGATAGGCTGGATGCCGGCTGTTATGTTCTTTGCACTCACTTGTAACGATTGTCCCGTGCCTCTATTGAATATACCCGAAAATGTGCGTGTGACTATAAGTATTTTTAACAACTCTATGATCGTAGTTAAATCGTTTATCGATCCAATTATATACGTCATTCGAATGCCAGAAATTAAGGAAGCTTTGAAGTCTATGTGGAGGGCACCTTGCAGTTTCGAAAGGGAGGAAGTAAGCAGAGTCGACTTAGGCCAATTTTCTCGCACACAAAAGAATTCAATTTCAATTATGTCTTGTCATAATCGCAAGACCGAACAGAATGGAAACAGGAATCTAACCATGTGATCTTCAACCGTAAGTATCACTTTTTTTTTCTTTTTTAAATTTAAATCCTCACAAATTTACTTGGAAGAATTATATAAAGTATGAATGAATATATACTTCTTTGTTATAATTCTTTCTAACAGATGGAATAGACACCCACGTTTAGTATCTGTAGGCAGGTTTGCGCCAATAGAAATGTGTAGGTTGAGGCATATAATAGGTGGTAATTTCGAAGGAGAAATCTGCATTAACAATATAAATATTTTCTTGTATAGAACATAAGATTAACTGCATAATTAAATCTATATCCGGTATTAAATTCTCGAAAGTATCATAAAAATCAATTATTCCTCTGGGTATCTTCGTTATATATATTTCGGTGAATTCGAGCGTTGTGTTTAATATTCATTCATTAAAGAAACCTGATAGATGTTAATGCCGGCATCACATATATTACTTGTATGTTAACGTTTACATCTATTAAGTCTGTTCCATCTGTTCCATTAAATATATGAAGATTTGTTATCGTCTCCTGGGAATTGGCATAGAGATTTGATTTCCATAAGTTATTTATACCTTTTAGAAAGTCGATGTCACGTAATTTACATACAAACAGTTATAGAACCCGGGCGTTTATAGTTAGTTAAATGGCATCCTAAGTCTACTTCGTTAACCGTAATCATTTATGTTTGTGTAAATTACGTACTAGTTAATGAGGAATTCAAAATATTCGAATAGTCATCATACGTGATGGATTTACACGTGTCCGTGTAAGAATTTAAATTTTAAATTTACTTCTGGCTGCTCGTTTTATTGATTTCCTTTCGTTTATTGATTGAAGTTTTAGAAAACTGAAAATTGTTATTTTTATTTTTGTTTATTTAATATATAAATGCTTATATTTAAAGCCAAAAAACTGAATAAATAAATAATAAGAAACAAAATCCATTATTCGATAATTTAATAAGTCAAGGAAATTAGTTTTAACTTCGTAAACATATCGAACGTGTTTTATATAAAGTTTATATACATAAAAAAAAAATTAAATTTTTGTGTAGAAATTATTTGGTGAAGTCTAAAGTCAATTAGGGCATTATCGAGGTATTCTAGTAACGTGTTAATAGCACTTTTGCGAATAAATGGAGCAGATAGTAATGGCTGCAGCAACTGATTGAATTTATCGAATGGAAAACATTATCAATTCTTTTCATATAGTAAACAAAAAAGAAAAAAAAATGTATTATTTTCTTAATATAATGTAAATTGAATACTTATTGACCTTCAGAGAACGTTCGACTCGATTCGCATAACAAAAAAAGATCTCTAGTCAATCAATAGCCCTTTGAATAAGTGCCTGATTACAAAGAAAGATGTCTGTAATCTCCACGGTACAAACTTCAAATACAAAAGTGGTGGATTCTGATTAAAAGAATGTCATTTGATCTTCGAATTACTTCCTTCTTTCATTATCAGATATAATATATTGAAGCTATCAAATCTCTACACTTGACCTGCTAATCCAATATTACTAAAGGGGATAATAATTAATTTGATTTCGTCTACGATAATTCAATAAAAACATCTTTCTAAGCTCTTCAATCTATTTAGATAAAAGCTATTATATTTTTTTTTTAAATTTTGAATAGAATTATAAATTTTCAAGGTTTTAATTTGTTAAAACCTTGCCGTAAACTTATAATAAGTCACGCAACAAGTAGAACTTTTATAGATGTAAGCTTGAAAGATATACAGTTAAACTTCGATAAACCGGCCTCCTAAATAGCATCATTCACGTAAAGTATCAATAAATACTCATGAACGGATTTTCCTCACAAATATTAAATAGTAATTCACAGGTATTGAAGGTTCTCCAATTCACTAAGTACTCTTCATTAAGGATACAGGTATTGCATTATAAACATTATCGGCAAATTACATTCCTTTCAAACACTCGAACTGAAAATATGTGTGTAAAAACACTCATTGCTGGACTATATATAATTCTTATCGATTAAGACACTTCAGTTTAACATCACACTCGATTTATTGACAATTTCGGAGACAAACAGTGGCGCTATATCGAAACGTAATTGCAATCATCTTTAATATTATATATGACAATTAATTTAAACTTATTTAAAAATTGATGTTCATGTTTAATTATTAAAAACTTTTAAAGTTATTTTTTAAGTGTAAGATTTAAAATTTTCGTATATTTTATATGACAAATGTATACATGACTTATTACATATCTAACATTTAGAATTGTATTTCTTTAAATTAATACACAAATAAAACGTTTTATTTATTATAGAAATTAGTTTTCTCGTTGATAATAATAAAAATTGATGGCAAACTTTATATTATTTGTATAAATTTATCGATTTTAATTTTCGTTAAAGCTTAAAATTGATTTTTAAAGCCGGAAGATAAGGTTACGTTCTAATCAAAATTTCGTTTATTAAAATTACCAGAAAAAAAAAAAAATTCCTTTAAGAGCTGAGCCATAGAAAACCTTATTATTTTACCTAAAAATTCCCTCTGGCAACAAGGAAAGAATACAAAAGAATTTAAACGAGTTTTTTTTAAATATCTTTATCATCATCATTAAAGCAAATTCTTCATAAAATATTATTGTTGAAAACAATTCTTTTCTAGAAAATTCAACAGAAAAATATTTGCCTTCTCCCGAGTTTATATAACTGTCTTAAATCGAAGCTAAATTATTCAAGTTAATAAATATCGCTTTAAAAAAAATACAGTCAAACTTCGACTTAACGTCATTGTTTGTTTACCTCTGAAATTTCATTAGATCAACCGTGAGGTTAAATCTAAGTATCTCAAATAATAAGAATTATATATAGCAATGATATACATATATATATATGCAGATATGTGTTTGAAAGGTTGAAAGTTACGTGGAAGGGATCTCTGTTTAAGGATAACATCCTTAAATATTAAACAAAGATCCCCTCCACGTGTTAACAAGTATTTGGCAATTTACACGGGTGGCGTTAAACCGAGGAATTTCAAAGAATAATAATGAGATGTACAGTAGAGTACTTACAAATCTGAAAGTCACGAGAAATTTATATACAATGTTTATCCTTTCACGATTTTTCATTAGCGCTTTACGGAGGTGTTGTATTTAGGGGGATGCTATATCGAGTTTTGAATGCACAGCAAGAGTTTAATTGCATAAAACAATAAATAATTTGCCTGTTTAATGGAATAATATTAATTCGCTTCGATAATTAAAATGTATATAAGAAAACTGAAGAATTTTTTCAGATAATTTAAATAATTATATTATTTTCGAGTCGAAAGAATAAAGGTAGTTATTCCTAGTATGCAGTAGTGAATTTTTTCTTGCAGAAAACCCAAGAAGGTTATGGAAAATCAAAAAAGAACTATCAGGAAATTCCTTAACGCATCTCTTCCCATTTCCATCCATCTGCTCGCTATTGACTGCTTCTTGGGCGTTCAACAAAATATCTTTTTACTATTTTTTTTTCCTCCTCTTCAGGTACTTCGACCAAGTTCAAATTTTACTACTAAAAAAACGATTTAACACTGTTCTTAAAGTAAATGAGCGTTAGAGATATAGAGCCTTGTATCTCTTATAAAAATAATAAACTATTTTTTATCGATAATATTAAAGAAAAATCATTAAAAAAACAATTTTTTTAACCATAAAGCAATAGAGCTTTACAATTTCAACACGTGGTTGGATATCGAAGCCGCGTGTCAAGCCATAAACGAGAAAATTAAGCACTCTAAAGCTATTTATAATTCAATTAGACTTTCATATAGGGTTCAATCTATCAAATTCGCCCCTCCGAGATCTTATTTATGTACTGAGAACTTTAGTTTAAAGCCCTAAATTTAAAGTTAAAAGTGTTTAAATAATTTAATTAATACTTTAAGTTTTTTATTGATATTAAAACAATTCGATTTTCTTCTCTATTACTTTTTAAAACTGACCAAAACGTTATAAAACATCTATAAAAACAAGTAGAATGAAATCAAGTTATTCTTAAGGCTGAACAAATAAAAAGAATCTTTAATTGAAGGTTCAATTCTATTCTGTTTTGTGGACTGTTTGGAGAGTTGAGTAATCCCTTGATCCCTTATAAAAAGACCTTCAATGGTTCATTTGTTGTACGGTTAAGATAGCAAACAAAACAGAAGATATTTTGGATGCGTCATCTCGAATCTAAACGATTTTATATACCTTCAATAGAAGAAAGGAGATAGCGTTAAGAACTTTACACCCCAAAAGAAACAAAAAAACAAACGTTTTAAACCTTGTTAAATTGTAACTTCGACTAACTTTTAACTTTTAAGACTTAAAAAAATTTATTTTTTTAAATAAAATATATATATTTTTTGAGTAGAAAAATGACTAGAGGAAGCGAAACTTGAACGTGTTTCAAGCAACCATTTACTCAATATTCCCAACAAACTTGATTATATATTTGTTTTCCAGTATTATAGACAGTTACTTGTATTATTTTTTTGACATTTACGTGTCTACCGATACTGTATCTGGCAGATCGAACGTTGAATCCTTTAATATTATTGTTTGCCAGTAATAATTTTCATAGTAGACGTTACGGTTGTTTTACGTCATTTTCTTTGTCTCGTTTCCTGTTTTCAACATTACTTCTCCTGTTTCTACGTTAAACTGCATTGTTTTTATCAGACTGAAGGTCTATCGGGTTGCTTGTTACCATCCTTTTTTCTCCCCAAATTGTATGGTTTTTATCCTTTGTTACCGACTTGTAATTGTTTCCTGGATTTAATAGTTAAACTTAAAGACACTATTAATTGTATAACGATTAGATTTATCGGAATAATTTAAGCGCGATCTACTTTAAGATCGTGAAAATAGCATTAAAAAATATATTAATTATAATTAACACTTGAAAAGCTTTGAGTGCTTTCGTCATTTTTATCATTAATCAAGCACGATGATGATTATAAACACTTCATTATAATTAAAAACTTCTCAGAAATAATTATATTTATATAAACTATAAGAAACAAATCTGTTGTATTGAGATTTCCTTGATTCTATTTTTTCTTTATCCTTACATAATTCGCTCCTATTGACCTTAATTAGGAACTGTGAAATAATTAGGCAACTTAATCCCGTTGAAGACAGACATTTTAGTAAAATATAAGAAGTTGAATGTAATAAACCGTTAGTAAATGTATTTTTAATGTTTAAAAATTTAATTAGAATAATCAACTTGTTTTTTTTAATTCGTTAGAAGAGATTAAAGCCATCATTAGTCTAATCCTTGTATCAAAAGTGTTAAATTATTTTCTTATTTAAATTAGACTATAATCGTATCGATAAAACAATTTATTATTATTTTTTTTTAAATTCGTTAATTATTCGAAAATTTCGTAACATAATTGTTATCTTCTATCGATTTTTACATTGTATAATAGAATATTTAAGGTCAATTTAGGTAAGTGGCTTGCTCGAAGCCTGTTATTATTGTTTTTTTATTTACTAAATTGGAAAAACATTAATATTTCATAGTTAATTTCTAAATAAAACTTGTATAATTTCCTCGCTTAAAATTGTATAAATTCTTTAAATATTTAGCATTTGTTTAAGTTCCTATTCGCTTCTACAACTGAGTTTCCTTCTAGCTATTTTCTAGCATCTTTACCATTTTTTTAATGCTAAAATTAATTTTTTAATTGGAAATTACAATCATAAAGTATTGATTTCGTCCATTTTCAGGCAACTCAAGCAGTAAAGTAAGCGGATAAACGAAGGTGATATATGTTAGCAACAAGGGAGACAAGATAGATTAACAGTGGAAAAATTGTAACATGTTTTCTTTATTCTTCACATTTGATTTATTTCTCTTTCATTGATTGTACAAAATATATTATTATTAAATTAAAAAAAACTTCTATATTTGATTGAAACTTTATTATTTTTTAATTATCCTAACTAAATTTGTGCCTAATATAACCGGTAATTCGAGAATATCTCGTTGCATTAATGCCTCTACTGGGAGTAGTTAACAATGGCTTCTGGACGGAAGGGTATGTACTGAATGTAAGAGATACGTCATTATAGATTTTGTAAGGAAGCAACATACCGTTTGTGTCATCTCTTATCTAATACTCTAAGTAATTGGACACCAATTAAGTGATTAGCAACAGTGGACATCCAAACAGGTTATCTCGCTACTTTCCTTAATAGAATACAGGTGACACCGATATTGTATGGTTGTTGCAGCGGCTGTCAATCCAAACTGTGATGAAAATATTGATTAAATTTCATTTCACTGGTTATAATAATTATCCGGCAAATATTTTTACCAATTTAATTTGTTTACAAATACAAAGAATCTTCACGGGTTACCTGAACACGTTCAATGCAACTTTTAATTATAAAAAGTACTAATTATAAGAAAGAGAATTTAAAATTATAATTTAACTTTTAAACAAAAATAAATAAATACTAAATTAAGCGCAAATTTACTTCTAAAATGGAGTGAAAAACCTCTAAAATAATTACAAAAATTTAACATAAAATATCGATGCACATATAAAAATACGAACTAAAATTTTTATAATTCAAATACTTATATTTAAAGTTTACAAGAGAGCAATATATTATTTAATAGCCATTGGATTAAACCACTTAAATTTAATTATTTATCCTTGCATCATGTACATCTCGAGTAAGACGATAATGGTTATTGTTACATTAGTTGGATAGGCAAGAAGTTTAGCTAAGAAACTTTCCTCTCGGAGGAACCATCTATTTGATTGACTCTGACATATATTGAAAGGTAAACTATTAGGAAAAGTTGTCAGTCACAAGCCAATACAGTTTTATTGTTCATGCTGGATGTATAGTAATTTGGTCTGTCGAACAACGATAAGATTACGTTCAGATTTTTTCTTTGTTCTTTTTTTCCCTTCTTCTCACAGGTACATTGTCAACATTATGACGAATGACAGAGTCTTTCTTCTGTCTCCTCCTGATCTTTCTATTGATACACTTCATCATTTATCATACTCCCAAAGAGATGTTAATCTTTTTTTCTTCTTCTTCTTCATCTTCTTCCTCTTCGTTCTTCTTCGATTCTGTCTTTTTAATAATGTCGAGGATGAACTGCATTAGATAGTCAAGAGCTATATAAATTAGTTAGTTATTCCCTAATGGACTAATCAGAAATTTGCATTCAGTGCAAGTTTAATACATCGTAAGCTTGATCAATGGCTAATCATGATGATTATTGTTGCTCTTAACAGAATGAATGGAGAGGAAGAGACGTGAAAGAATCGAATAATTTATTATATAAATTATTCTAGAATTAAATCTTTAATTAATTGCGTTTTATATATATAATTATAAATTATTGTGTCGAATGATTTGAATTAAAATAGACAAAAATTTAATAATTTTTTTATTTTTAAAAACTTGTTTAAATTGAATTTATAAATAATTATAAAAAGTCAATAAAAAATTAAATTTGTTTTAAAAAAAGACTAAAAAATAGAATATTTAATAAAATTTACAAACTCAAAATTAATTTAATTATTTAACAAGAAATATCACATCAAACAATAAATTGGCTTAAGTAAAAGTCTTGTCTTGGGGATTAATTCAATGAATAACAAAAAATCAAGAAGGAAAACAAAAAAAAAAGTTCCTCTAATGAGCCGTTTTACTTTTGCTTTATCTCCATAGACATCAAGCTCATCATCATTAATACAATTTCGATTAAAGGAATAATAATAATAATCACATCTCTCCAATCTGATTGAAAAAACAATAATATCCTTATCTTATGATATAATAAAATTAAACTTAAAACCATTCTACATTAATTTTACTTATAAAACTTATAAAATTTTAAATATTAAATTAGATATAATCTTTTATAAATTGTGTTATAAAAACATAATGATTTGAATATTTCAACACAATTATAATTTATAGTCAGCTTTTATGAATTAATTGTTACAAATTGACATTTTAAACCAAGTTAGATGTCTTATATAAACTATAAATATCATCTTAATCCTAGATTAAGAAGATACTTCATCATCATTTTAACTGGACAGCAATTAGACTAAGCGAAAATAAATAGGTTGCTCTAAAAATTTCATGCCCATCCATCTTTATTTTACAGTGTGTTAATCTTTAATGGTGATAGAAAACAGGACTGTATATTTTTAAACTGTCAAAATTATTTTATTTTTATAAAAATATAATTTAAACCCAAACACACACACACACACACAACACACACATACACACTTATAGTATTTTTAAGTAATTAGTTTAATAGATTAAAATTTAAGAGAAAGAGAATGCCTTATTGAGTTTTATTTTCATTGATTACTAACGTAGAAGCTCTTGTAAATTTAATATAAGACAGTTTAAATCAATAATGTCTTTAAAATTAAAATTATG